GGCAGGGTGTGGCCAGAGACCATCATGCAGTTAGCAGATGTGCAGGTTTGGGCCCCATGCACAGGGCCAGCGAAGACAGCCTGATACCAGGGGCTGGGAGGGGCTGACATGCTTCTGCCTGGGGGGTGACCGGGGCTGGGGGGTGTAGCCCTCCCGTCAGATCACCAGGAGCAGCGCCATGTTCTGGGCCAGTGAAGGCCCATCGCCCCAGGGAGCAGCGGGAATTCCTATGCTTACGGTCCACAGTCCCCCTTTCAGAAATAAACCAGTGAGCCCCCCCTGGAACCCTTTAAGTGCATAAACAGAGCAGAGCCTGATGCAGTGCTGGGGGCACACAAAGGGGCTAGTGGACACCCAGAGCACCCACACCTGCCAACAGCCACAGCACTCACACCTGCTGCTGCCCGAGGAGTCCACACCTGCTGATGCCTGAGGGGCCTGCGGCCATCAGTGCTGAGGGCCCCGGCTTGGTCAGCCTCTGGGCCGCGGTGGTCAGCTGTGGCCCATGAGGCTCAGTGCAGGGACCCCTAGAGTCCACTCTCGGGGGGAGATGAGACTGGCTCCCCAGAACCCCTTGCCGGCACATCACAACTCATGACTCAGGGTGATGGTCAGTGTCACAGGGGCTCTGTTCCGCCTTTCGGACAAAGATGCCCTCGTGCCTGGAGGCGAGTCCCACCCTGCCTGGGCCCACCCCTGGGTGTCTCTGGGTGCTCTCTGGCCTCTGCCCAGCAACAGGACCCCGGAAGCCACCCCCTGTACGAGTGGGCAGTGCTGACCTCTGCACGGATGAGCGAGGGGCAGAGAGCGTTTCCCAGCCCTGCCTACTCTGCTCCCCTGCTGACCTCTGGCCTTGCCCCCCCCCAGCTGCCCCCCTTGAAATGTCCTGGGGGCCCAGGGGGCCATACCCCAGGCAGAAAGAGTGGTCTGGAGGGAAAGTTTGCTTGCCTCAGCCCACTCGGAGACGCAGGCAGGAACCACCACCCTTAGATCAGAAAACAAAAAAACTTGTTTCTTTCCATCTGCCACTTCCGAGCTGCTGGGGGCCCCCGTCTGAGGATGCGTCTGTGCTTTCCTGGGGGCCTTCTCCTGGAACCTGGCGGGGGCAGGTTGGCCTCAATGATTCTAAGGAGAGGCCACGCCTGGCCAGGCGCGTCAGCGTGTGTCTGTGGCCTCGCGGGGAGCTGGCTAGTGGGACAGTCACCCGCTAGTTGGACAGCTGGACAGTCACCCCGCGCTGGGAGGCCCTCTGGGGCTTGCTGGGAAGGGGTGGGGCAGCAAACACGTGAGCTGCCCCCGATTCTCCTCTGTGCCGAGATCTCTCAGGGCCCAGCGGCTCCCTGCACCCCCGGTCACGTGCTCTTACTCTTCTCCTGCAACACCTACCATGTCTTCCTCTGGTGTGGCCCGATTTAAGTCTCCGTCGTCCCTGTATTTTTTTCAGTATTTTCTTTTTTGTCTATTCTCGTTATTTCAGATTCCAACTTTATGAGGGGGAAAGTTGCATCTTTGCCAATTTGCTCTGGGGGGAATTAAAGCCGACGAAGCAGAAACAGTCGCATTCCAGTGACAGGTGAACCTCTGGCGTGTGGACCCCGGGGCCCCCGGGAGCTGCTCTGGCCTCCTGGTGCAGGTGTCTTGCTGCCCAGAACAGGCGGCCTGTGTCCTGTGCTGCCCGGTGCCCCAGGGCTCTGGAGGGGCAGGGGGACCTGCCATCCCCCAGTGCTGGCCCGAGAGAAGCAGGAGGCGGCGGCAGCCCATCTCTGTCTGAGAGGGGCCTGCTCCCCCCAGGTCCAGGGAGCGTCGCAGGGGTGGTCAGGAGTGGTCTGAGGGGCAGGGCAGCAAACCCCGCCCCGGCGACCATGAGGACCGTGAGGAGGCAGAGGAAGTTAGCAAAGGCTAGAGAGGGAAGAGACAGGAGAATTGGGGGGAGCTTCCTCTTTCCTTCAAGTGGGGTGCAGAGGGGGCGGGGTGGTGCCACCTTACCCTGGGGGTGCTGGGCCTGTTCCCAGCTCCAAGCTCCTCAGTGGGATGTTCGCCCCTCCAGCACCTTGTCCCAAAAGTGACCCGAAGGTTGGTCACCCAGGAGGCCCAGGTCCCTCATGTCCGGGCAAGAGGAGTGGATGTGGGTCAAAGGGAGGACGCCTTGCAAGAACAGACTGGAGGTGTCGGGACAGGGGTGTGTGAGAGCAGGGCCTGGAGGTGGGACCAGCACCGAGACAAGACTGAGCCAGGAAGAAGCAGGACAGAGGCGAGGACCAGGCTGCCCCGACAGCAGGTGGCGGTGACCGAAGGCCTGTGTAGCCCAGGCTGCAGGGACTGAGCTGGTGTGGGCTCTCGTCCAGGCCGCCATCCCTCCTGCACAGATCCAGCTGGATCCTCATCAGCCCTCAAGGTTGCATGCCATCCCTTGACCGGGGTCACTGTGTCTGGTGTGAGTGCTGTCTCAACACCGTGGGTCTCTCTGGGCACACGCTGTGCCCTGCTGCCCAGTGTCCTCTGGGTCTCTGTGCAATTCCGCAGTGGCACCAGCAGTGACAGTAGCCGTGGTGCTGGTGGAAGCACACAGGACATGGCATCCTGCCTCATGGAGGGGCTGCTCTACCCACTCTCTCATGCACTGGGCACAAGGTGGGCTCGGCCACAGCCCGTCCTACTGAGAAACTCCTGCCCTGCTCAGTGGCATCCAGAGCCCGGGCATCACGTCCGACTACTCGCGCCAGCACTCGAACACGGCCCTGCAGGGACGGAACCCTGCCAGCTTTGCCCTGATGTTTGGGCCTGACCCAGGACCCCAACCCCTCTCAGACAGGCTCCCCGCCTTCACGTGGTCCCCACGGCCCTGGAGTTGTGTCAGAAACTGGGCCTTGGGTAGTGCGTCTTGAGCCGTGGGCACACCTGGCCCCATGCCAGTACCTTCCACCCATGGGCAGGACACCTGGCCCCGTGCCAGTACCCTCCCCCCATGGGCAGTGCTGCCCAGCATCTGAGGGCTATACATCTGTGGTCAGCCTGCAAAGAGCAGCTGGACAGTCCAGGCATGGGACCCACTGAGCAGGCGTGTGACCTCAGTTACTCCCAGGTGCCATGGGGTTCCCACACCCATCCTACCTGCCACCCAGCCCCCTCTGTACCAACAACGCCGCCCTTCGGGAAACCCAGTAAAAAGATGCTGCCACAGAGGCGGGACCGACCAGAAAATGTGAGTGAGGGGAGCAGCCATGAGGACATCACCCCCCCCCCCAGAAACCATCATGGCCACACCTCTGGGACCAGGCCCAGAGACAGCAGTGCTCTGCATTTTATTAGTATTGAAAATAATACAGACAGATAGCCATAGGGTACACACAGCAGCTTCAAGATACACTTGGTACTTTTCAATATGAAACATCGGACGGATCTCATGGAGATACATGGCTACAATCAGGAGCCAATGACCCTTGACGATGAGGACAGGAACCTCGGGTGGGAATCACTGAATCAAAGGTACCACTTGGTGCACGAGACGCCAACGGGTGCTGAGGACCCCGTGCGAGCGTGTTGGAGGCTCCAGGGCACGGGTCTCTCCAGGTATGTACAGTATTTACAGAGAAGCTTGCAGAAGAGGCGACTTTCTCTCGCGAGTGGAGTTTGTCTGACATGGAATCTCTAAATGTAAAGTGAAACTTGATGATGGGAGCTGAGTGCTTCTCTCTCTCCTCGTCCCTGCTATCCCCACTGTTTGGGCTTCTGGTGTCTGTGCGAAGCAGGACTTGCCAAGTCGGTGTGTGGGGAGGGGCCAGTCTCTCCGCCAGCTTCCCTGATGTCTTTACATATTGCTATGAGGGCATGCGAGCCACCGCCCTAGGACCAGGGCAGAGACAGGGTCCCTGAGATCAGAGCTGGGCAGGGCAGTGGGGAAAAGGGGCTCTGTGGGGGTGGAGTTTCAGGACGGGCAGGGAGACTCATGTGGGAAGCCGGTTGTGGGCCCTCAGCGGGGCCCGTGTGTCCCACCAGTGTGACCCCAGGCCTGGGAGGGAGGGTCCAGAGAGGCACGACCACAGGAGGGGGGTGTGCAAACTGGGTCCAGTGCGGTTTGAGGTCCAGGAGGCTCCTCCCTCGGTGCGTCACAGCTTGAGCAGCCCGGAAGGCTTTTCATCAGGTGAGGGAAAGCCCTTTCCACATTCAGGAATGTTCCAGAAGATGGACTCTTGCTGCGCTATCCGGGCTACAGCCCTGGGAGTGGCCCTCCATGTGGAGGGGACCCACATCTCACAGGATGGGTCCGAGGCAGGGAGGCAGGAGACCCAGCTGGTCCCGAGGCAGAGGAAACAGCCCCGTATCTGAGTTCACAGAGGAGAGAGCGGGGCGACCGCGACATTGACACCCAGAGGGTCCCAGCACAGGCCCACCGCAGTGCCAGAGCCTCAAGTCCACGGCTGCGCCCGGAACACAGGGCCACTTCCCAAACAGGCCCCGAGTCTGGGGACAGAGAGGCTTTCAGGGCACCTCTCATCCTTGGGCATCTCAAACGAGCGTCTCAAAGTAATGCTGATGGTAGCTTCCAATCAATGCTATTAGAGTGTGAAATAGCATTTGGGTGAACGAGTCCTTCTAAATTAAAAAACAAAACTTCAACAACGCATGTGGTGTATCTGTGTGCGTATGTGCTAGTCTGGGTGTACACGTGTGGCATGTGTTCCTGTATGTGTGCATTGCCTTCGTGCATGTTCATGGTATTCACGCGTGCTCTGTGTGCATATGTGTGTGCACGCATGTGCCTGTCGGGGAGCATGTAAATCTTCATCTCTTGGCAGTGCTTAAAATCATAGCCAAAGAATCTATGAAAAGTCTGAGTTTTGTCGTATGCAAATTCCTTTGGTTTATCAGGTAAATATTAAGGCATTTCAGATTCCCTACGAGGACCCCGTCCTCCCAGTCCTTTCACGTTACCTACACAGACAGTCACAAACACAGCTGGAAGCATGCACGTCGCCAGTCTCGGCCGGCTGCCTCGGCCGCTAGAGCAGGGCCAGCAGGAGGCAGAGCAGCGGCGGGGCGCGGCGGGCGGGTGCGGAGCCCCGCACAACAGGACCTGCGGGAGGACGGGCCATGAGTAGGCAGCACCGGCCCCTCATTCGGAGCCTGGGGATGCGCCCTCCAATCAGATCTCGAGAGGGAACACTCCCTCCAATCAGATCACGAGGGGGAACGCTCCCTCCAATCAGATCTACGATCCGAATGATTTTTAATGATTAAGTTGAAATTGGAAAAACATCTTAATCATTTTTGTAAACAATTACATTCTATTACAGAAAATTTTTGAATAATTCAGTGGTCTAAAGCAAGCTTCTTTGTCGGATGAGCTCGGAGATTGTGTCTTTCTATCTCTACATTTCTAGATAAATTATTATACATAATGTGAAGCCTCAGCTGTAGAAAGCCACCACCAGACTTCAATAACCAAACGTAAAAGATGCCTGTGTTGATGAGGGCGGGGCTGGGGTCGGGAAGCTGACGGGGAGGGCAGGGTTGGAGGGGAAACTGGGGGCACCGGTGGAGGGAAGATGACACTGGTGGTCGCTGATAGAGCACCAAAAATCCAACTATGAATAATTTTGTAATTCACCGTGTTTTAAATAAAATAGAAACGGGAAAAAGAAAAAGCTATCGCCAGGATTTGCTAGGGATGGCTTGTCTGCCGATGCAGCAGGAAGGCGAATGGCAAGGCTTCTGGTTCAGCCGACCAAATTGTGCCCCAGTGTCCGACCCCAAGAGCCCTTATGGGGCATCTGGCATGTTGAGGTCAGGGGGCAGCCAGCACTGATCTCAGGGCTGCAGAGAACCTGTATCAGCACCCCCTCCCCCATGCTAACAGCCTCCCTGAATTGGGGGCTGGTGGGCACCTTCAGCTGTCTGTGGTGTGGAGTGGTTTCTTTCAGCCGGGAGGCGCTTCCTACTGCTTACACAGTTCATGCAGACAAGGCCAGCTGGTCAGGTTCTTTGCAAGGACAAGGCTAGCTGGTCAGATCCTTTGCAAAGAAAAAGTGGTTTATATTTGAGGCCATGGGACCACAGATGTAAGTTATGATTTTAGAGGAAAGATGACATTTCTTCTGCCACTACCACCGATTAAATATGAATGCAAGCCTATTTCCCTGAACTTAGATGTGCTCTCTAGAGAAAGGAGAAATCAGTGTGAAGCTCCCCTGAAATCAGCAACTTCAAATTTGAGGGTGTCTTTTGGTTTGTAAAGTCTGATTTTGCCAATGTCATTTTTGCACTTTCTAAAGAACTGAAAATCTTCATTTATAATCTAGAGGAGGCAATTAAATATCTTTAAAGTTCTCGTAGGTTCAGCATTGCTCAAAAAACCTCTGAGAAAGTTCTCTTTGCCTATGCAAGATGTAGTCACATGCAGGCAACACTCTGGATGAGTGAAAATGCAAACCCAGGCCTAGAGCCTAGTACAGCAGTAGGGCATTTGCCTTGCACGTTTCCAACCCAGATTTAATCCCTGGCTTCCTGTATGTTCCCCGGAATCTGCCAGGAATGATCCCTGAGCACAGAGCATGGCCAGGTGTGGTAAAATGAAAATCCCCCCCAAATAAATGATAAAAACGGAAATCTGGAGTTTTGCTAACGAATGTTGATGGCTTTTCTGTTTCTGCTCTTTCCCCCAATCTCACCATTAGGAGCAAACACTCCAGCTCTCAAGGCCCTTGCCCACCCCTCCCCACATACAGAGAGCTGGGGGTGGGTAGAGAGGGGTTGGGCACCCCCAGAGGCCCTGCCCCAGGTGGGCAGAAAGGAAGCTGCCTCCCTGCCCCTACTTACGGCTGATTCCTGGGACCCTGATCTGCTCGCTGCTGGCACCGTCACCTCCGGCTGTCGTGGCCTTGACCTGGATGATGTAATCCCCCACGGTGGGCAGCTGCAGCTCCACTGAGGTCTGGTTGGTGCTGAGCACCTGTGCTGTGGTCTGGCCGCTCGCCCTGTAGAGCACCTGCAGGGGCCACAGCACAGGTGAGGCCCTGGCCAGCACCCACGAACACAGCTGAGGCCCTGGCCAGCACCCATGAACACAGCTGGGGCCCTGCCCAGCATACAGCACAGCTGGAGCCCTACCCAACACCCACAACTCAGGTGAGACCCTGGCCAGCACCCACGAACACATCTAGGGCCCTCTCTAGCACCCAAAGCAAGAGCGAAGGCCTGCCAGCACCCACAAACACATGTAAGCCCTGCCTGGTACCTACAGCACCTGGCCCCACCCCAGCCCCTGGGATCCTCCAACACCTGCTGCTGATCTCCCTGATCTGATCAACCCCTCTCCTCAATGGACCTGAGGAGCACCTGAGCTCTGCCTGGGACTCGGACTGAGGTCAGCACCTTTGGGGCCCGCGGTTTCCTGGGGTAGAGGGGAGGGAGGCAGGGGCCCATGGGTGAAACCTGACACCACGCCAGGTGACAGTTCCCACGGGCCACCAGGGCAAACCACTCAGGTGACAGCAGCAGACTCTGCCCCATGTCCCTCCATGGAGCCACTCCCCAAGCAGATGTCAGGAGTCGGGCACGTAGGAGAGCTGTGCTGCTCCTTGCCCAGATACCCAGGGGGCTCCCAGGGACTCCTGGGGCCTCCCCTCACCTGCGCCCCATAACTCACCTTGTAGCCTGTCACCTCCGACTCGTTCTCTGCCGCTCGCACACACTCCCAGCTCAGGAGGACGGAGGTGCCGGTGCTGTTCCAGACAACGTTTCCTGGGGGCTGGCTGGGAGCTGGAGGAGAGAGAGGAGAGCTGAGAGCCACTTCCTGCATAGGTGGAAGCACAAACCCTGTCCTGGGAGGGCGGGAAGAGACGTGTGGAAGGTTCCGGAATGGCCACTCAGCTCCCCTGCAAGCCTCAGGGTTCAGGTGGGGGGCGTGGGGCCCCTCTTACAGCTGCAGGAAAAGCTGCTGATGGGGACCCTCCTGCACCCCAGGAGTTCACGAGCTGGGCCCAGAGATGCAGGGCAACAGCAGTTGGCCCAGGGTCGGCAGACCGCCCCCTTGTGAGGAGGCTGGGGCTCAGGGCCTGAGGCCAGAGTCACAGCCAGCACCAGGGTCCAGGCTGTGACCAGGGCACATAGTTCTTGAGAACGATGAGGGAAACCAGCATCTAGGAGAGTCTCCTCAGGGCACGAAGACTTGGGTGCACGATACAGCTCCCCTTTGGGGGTGCTGGGCTGGTGGGGGGCCCAGGGTGGGAGCCCAGAAAGACGCCAAGAATCTGCCTCCTGTCACTCACGGACAACAGAGGGGCTTAGCATCTGGCACTGCTCCAAACATCGCCAAAGCCCAGAGGACCTCTGACGGCCATGCTGCCCACGTGTTTGCTGAGCTGTGACGGAGGGCCAGGAGCGTGTGGGCAGTGGACGAGGGGACGCGGAAGCAGAGGGAAGGATGGGTCGGAAGGGCAGGAGGCAAGTCTGCGGGGGCTAGAAGACAGGAAGACTCGCGGTTGAGAGGGACAGAATGAGAGTCCAGAGGCAAGGCCTCGGATGTGTGGGCAGCTCTTTGACAACAAAGGGACGAGGGTGGGCAGTGAGGCAGGAGGGCCCCCTTTAACAAAGGTGGTGGAGAAAACAGGTGACCACGTGCAAACAAGAGGGACTGAAAGTTCATCTCACTTGTACACAAAAGTTGATTCAAAATGGACGCAAGACTTTGATGTCAAACGTATTTCTAAAAAATACACCAAGGAAAGACAGGATCCCCCACGATCTCATCCTGGAGTCTCCAGTGATTCCCGCTCGTGGGCAAAGGAAACAAAAGCAGAAGAAAATAAATGGGAGTGCCCGAGAAAAAAGCTCTGCACTGTGAAAGAAATTAGGCCCCAAATGAAAAGACCTCTGACGGATGGGGAGAAAATATCCACACAATTATATGGCAAAGAGCTCAGATCCAAAAGACATAAGCTATTCCTGAACCTCAACAACAGAAACACAAGAAAAAAAATCCTCCATCCAAACTGTGACGCTTCCTCCAAGATGACACATGGACAGCCAACAGGCACGCGATGTTCCCCACCACTTATTACCAAGGGAGAGCAAATCCAAGCAATAAAGGTCCCTCCACGCTGCGAGAACATGTCAGAGAGCTGGAGACAGTAAGTGCCATGGGGAAGCGGTGGAGGGAACTCCTGCTCTTCCCCTCCCCTCCACTCCCCTCCCCTCCCACTCCCACGCCCTTCCCCCCTCACTGCTGCTTGCTCTGGTGCCTGTTCAGCCTCTTGGGAAAATGCCTGGAGATTCCTCAAGCCTATGGGTTGAACGTCCGTAGGACCAGGTGATTCCACTCCTGCGCCTCTACCCCCCAAACACAGAAGCCTTCACGGACAGGGCCCATGTACGGCTTATCCATGGGGATAATATTCACAATGGCTGAGACCTGCAAAGCACCCAGTGCCCAATAGCAAGACCAGTGGAAGAAGAACCCACAGTGTGTGTGCACAGCGGGAAGTCACTCAGCTGTGGGAAAAGGAGAGAACTGGCAACTGGCTGCAACCTGGGTGGAACTGGGCCATGTCATACTAAGCAAAGGAAAAAAGACAAACAACCAGTGACCTCACTCATGCAGAATACAAAGAACAAAGCCAGGGATTAGCAGTCCCAGTGGGAACCTTTGAGAAAGGGTGAGGAGTGGGAGCTCAGACCAGGGCGGGGCGGGGGAGGGGTCCCTGGGATCAAGAGGGCTCCGGGGTCTCAACCCTGCCGTTGGGGGGCTGTGGCCTCACTTCCCTGCCGTGTAAACCACCACGCCTCATTTTTAAAGAATCAATTGCAAAGACTTTAAAAGTTAGAAAGATCAAAGAAACGCCCATGGGAAGCATGAAGACCTCGACATCGACATTAAATGTTAAGTGGAAGTGGCAGTTCTCAGCTCAGGAATCTATTTCACGGGAACCACAATGACCCCCATCTGTGTTTCTGGCACAGTGTGGCCTGCAGGGGCCCGAGGAGGGGCTGAGAGACCCCTACTGTTAAGCAGGGGAGAGACTCAGCGCCCAGAGCCCAGCCAGGCCCCACCTGCTATCCTGTCATGTGACTGGCTCCGGGTTCCAGGGCCCAGCTGGGCACCCGTGAGCCCCTGCACTGGCTGCTCTGGAGCGATCCCCCTGCTGCCACCCACGGCCTCCAGCCCACCTGTGCGGCTGACCAGAGAGTAGGGCTGGATGCTGCCCGGAGCCCATCTCCGGGTGGTCCCTGGTAGGAAGGGCCCATGTGGCCAGCAGGGCGGGACCAAGGGCTGTGTGACCAGTGGCCTCATCCTGCCCCTGGGTTCTGTGCCCAGCAGCCACACCCTGACTGACCTCGGGCTGCATGGCCAGTGGCCTTGTCCTGCACCGTGGACCCCCGAAGGCCAACCAGGCTTTTCCCCGACTCAGCAGTCTACCCACCTCTGCTCCATCCATCCCTCCTGACTCTGCGAGGGTGTCTCAGCCCATCCCCACTTCCCAGTCCTTGCGCTGGGCTGGCCCAAACACACACATCCCAGACGGAGCCTTTGGTGGATGCTGCCAGCCACGGAGATGAGAGGAAGCAGTTGAGTCTAGGGATGCAGGGTATGACGAGGTGCAGATGCACCTGGGGAGGCCCAGGCTGGCCCTGGCCGGCCCACATCACCCCTGCCCCCGCCTGGGTCGGGCCCCTGGTAGCCCCAGCCCCCCAGGCTGTCAGTGGGACACTGGCTGTGTTTAGGGTGCCAGCACCCCCCCCCCCCTTAACAGGTCACCAGCTGTGTTCCCACACGTCCTCCTGGAACCACACAGACGCCCTCAAACCACACGACACTGCTGGCCGCTGAACTCACGGGTCTTCCTGGTGGTGGCGTTGGCTGCCGTGCTGAATGGCCCGGGCCCAGCACTGTTGTAGGCGCGGACGGCCACGTGGTGGGGCGCGTGGCTCTTCAGGCCACGCAGGGTGGCCGAGGTCTTGTTCCCAGCCACCAACACATGGCGGGCAGCGGCCTCATCCCCGGGGCTCCAGTACCGCACCTGGCCAGGTCACAGAGAGAGGCAGGTGACCGCATGCCCACGCTGGGCACTCAGAGAGCAGGCCTCCTCGGAGGGACCCAGCTCTGGGTTGTGCAGAGCCGAGGGGACTCACACCTACGTGAGCCCAGGCTGGCAGGACACATGCGGGAGAAGCGTGTCTGCCCTGCGCCCTGTCCTGACATCCACACTCCAGAGGAGGAGGGCAGAGTGCCTCCGAGCACAGTGGCACGAGTGCGACTCTGCGGGCCCCGCGGCCTGTTCAGGTCAGGCCTCCCGCTCCTGTGGGGCCCCGGGGTGGGTGCAGGCCCCACGCAGAGGAAAGCAGCTAACGGGAAAAGCGCCACATGCGGGGTTGGCCAAGTTAAAAGACAATATTCGGACAAAACAAGAAGTGCCTCGCTGCCCAGGGTCAGTCCAGTCCTCTGAGAAAAGCACCGAAGTTGCTATTGTCCTCAAGAAAACAAAGTCTGAGCCGAGCAGCTGAGCCTTAGAAATCCATTCTTTACAGAAATTGGAAGGGTCAGGGCCTAGTCCCGCAGGTATGACCTTCCCTGCACCCGCCGCTGCCCTTCACTCTGCCTCAGGCTCCCTCTCGCGGCTCTTGGAGGAGGAGGTGCAGCCGGAGAGTCCCCCCACCCCCCAAGTAAGCCCCCCGCCCCAGGGTGCCCCAGAGAGAGGAGGAGCAGAGATGAGATCTGCTCACATCACAGTCACTCAAGAAGCCACAACACCGGGGCTCCTGTCCAGAGTTCATGCTGTCCTGACAGAGCCTGCACCTCCCTGCTGAGTCAGGCAGGACACGCACCATGGACAGCAACCCAGTCACACCAGCACAGAGACCCTTGGGACTGGGTTCATGCAAGGAGCACCGGGGAGAGCCCAGAGGCGCATGCACACACACACACACACACACACACACACACACACGGGAGCAATGTGGAGGCATCACACTCAGAATCACACACACACACACACACACACACACTCGGAGAATCACACACTTGGCACTCGGAATAAAACACATATAACACACATACATACTCAGGGAATAAAACACACGTACTCGGGGAATCACACACACACACACACATACACATATACACTCAGGGAATCAAATTCATCTGGGAAATCACACGCTCGGGGAATCACACATATTTAAGGAATCATACCGACCCACACTGGGAATTGCACACACACTGGGGAGTCAAACACACACACACACACACACACACACACAGAATCCCACACAGAAAGTCACCCCTCCTCTAGGGAATCACACACACACACACAAGCACACACACACACACACCTAGGGAACCACACACAGGGACTCGCACACAGTCACTCGAGTCACCTCGTAGCCCAGGAGACGCCCGTTGCTCGCATTCCAGGGGGCTGCGCTCCAGGTCACCTGGATCTCCGAGGAGGACAGGCTGTGGGCGGACACTCGGCCCGGAGGTGCTGAGGGCTCTGCGGACAGGCGGGAGCCATCAGGGGCGAGCGAGGCAGACCAGCCGGTGCTTCTGGGGCCCTGGGGGCCGCGTCCCTGCAGCTCTGTCCTTGAGCGCTGCCTCCTCCCTCCCTGCCATCCCCACCCAATGACAAGAGCCCCTCGTCCCCCACTGCCCATGCTCGGCCCTTTCATGTTTCTGTCTCACCAAGCACAGATGCCCACGCCCAGGAGACCCCCCGACTCAGCCATGGGCCTCCCTTGCAGGACACGAGCAGCCACTCGGGTGGGGGAGGGGTGGGTGTGCACAGGCCCCTCGTGTGTGAGGGACACCCCAGCCACGCCATCACTCGCCCTCCCCTCTCCGGGCCTGGAGCCAAGGTGAGCCCAGGCTTCGGCCTGCAGCCCTGCTCCTGGCTTTCAGCCCCAGACCCATCAGCTGTGTGCGCTGAGGCCACACGGGGCTTGGAGGGAGGACTGGCCGGTGGCTGCGGCTCTGGGCCCTGAGGGTGCCAGGCTGTCGCCATCACTGTTTCCGGAGTCCCGTTCTGTGAGGAGTCCTGGGACTCTCAGTGTACCCTGGGCCTTGGGGACAGACGATGGTGTCTGGCTGGAACGAGAGGCTTTCCAGCTTGTGGGGCCACAGGGAGTACGTGGGGCACCACCAGCCTGTGGCTCATGGACTCCGGGTGGTGGGGTGGGCAGTTGGTAGTTGCCCCCAAGCTGTTGTCATGAACGTCTTGGGCAACCCCTGGATGTGGGGCAGCTTTGACCAGAGAAGCATCCCTGGGCCTCCAAGAAACCTGCTTCTCTTCCCGCAGAGCCTGACGGTGGGACTGTCCCAGCCAGGATGGGCACAGCCATCAGTGGCAGACACGTAGGTGAGCCAACCGCACCCCACGCAGCCTCCTGTCTCCTGCCAATCTCTGTGTGCCAGAGCCCTCCCTGTGCCGGGTGCCCGTGTGCCGGGTCCCCGTGTGCCGAATTCCCACCTGGCCTGGACCTCACACAATACCCGTGGGCCAGATCCCTCCATGTGCAGGATCTGTGTGCTGATCCCCCCGCGTGCTGATCCCTCCGTGTGCTGGGTCAACCAGGCATTTGATCCCTCCGTGTGTCAGATCCCTGTGTGTTGACTCTCTCTGCACAGTGGATCCCTCTTGTGGTGACTCTCCGTGTGCTGGATGACTCTCCATGGACCCCCACGATCCCTGTTTCTGGTCTGAGGATCTCAGAACTGATCCTTGCGTAGCATGTGCACAGACCCACTCAGTGCCCAGACGGGGTCAGCCCTGGCCCATACCTTCTTCTGCAGAGAACACGGTCACCACGGAGCTGAAAGGGCCTTCCCCTCTGTGATTGTAAACACCCACTTTCACCTCGTACAGCGAGAAGGGCAGGATGCTTTCGTTCCTGAAGACATAGCGTGGGGTGTCAGGGTTGGTGACCACAGTCTGGATCCAGGTGGAGACCCCCAGGGGGCGGAAAGCCACGACATAGCCAAAGCCTTCCCCGTTCTGCAACTCCTCGGGGATGGGCTGCAAAGGGAGGTCAGGGTCAGGCCAGGCCAGGCATGACATACGTGCTAGGCCCAGGGGAGTGGTCCACCGGGTGCCGGCCAAGGTGGGCTGCGGCTGTGTAGACCACCAGGGCCAGCCACAAATATGGAGACATCAACACGCCCAAGCTCTGAACCATGAGACTCTTCCTTCTGGGCCACCCTCACTCTCAAGTCAGACAATCTTATAATCCCTAATTACACAGTGTGGAAGGAGATTACACATCCACATGGCAATTTAGTAGAAACGAAGAAAATGACAAACGGGAAATAAAAGGTAAAATGATATGTTTGAGTCACGTAGAAATTTCCTGCCGACATTCCATTATGATGTGGTGACATTCTATTATTTCCATATCTTAGAAAACAACCTAGAAAACTCTACTGCCTTCTGCTTCGAAAGTGTTTGCTCAATTTGGTCCTAACTACAACATGTGACAGGGGCCAAGGGTTGGTCTGAAATCCCGCCTCTCTGCCAGTAAGCGGGCATTATCAGTGGGGCTTATGGTCAGGGGGCTCACGGACAGTCCCCTCCCACAGTCACACGGCAGCTGCACGGGGTGGGATAGCGGGGCCCTGGGGCTTCTGCAGACACTTACGTCCCAGGTTATCACCAGCTCTGACCGGCTCCCACCGCCTCCCTTGACTTCAGAAGGAGGCACTTCTGGAGCTGCGCGGGCCAGAGAGACAGAGAAAACCCCGTTTCCATTTGGCAAGGTTTCATGAAGGAAAGAGGCCTCCAGGTCCCTCTTTGAGCACTTGAGAGTCTGGCCTCTGGCACCTTAAACACACATACAGGTAGGTACAGAGGTATAGATCTACCTGTAGAGGCTATCAGACGTAGTCGCATGAACACATTTGAGAGCTAGATCTCCCAGTGAGAATATAATGTCTCCCACGGATTAATATAATGAGGTCAAGTGACTGGCCAGGGCTACAGGGAAGGGCTCTGACAAGAAACATCCAGCTTGCCTGTGTTGCTGGACAGCTGCCAGCCCCAGGGCAACAGCAAGCTCTCATGAGAAGGGCCCAGACTCGACTCCCAAACACCCCTAGGAAGGGTCCAAGTACCCCAAAAAGGACCAGACATTTTCCTTCACCCTTGCTTAAAGATCAGGAAGCCTCAGGACACAGTGAGAATCTAGGTTGCCAGAAAGTGGATCTGGTTGTCACCACACGTCAAAAAGGTCCAGAAAGTGCCACCCTTCACCCGTCACCACGCGACACAGCAGGTCAGGCACCCAAGCAGAACCCCCCATGCCCAGAGAGACACTCTGGGCTGCTCTGCGCAGTGAATGGGCACTGCCAGCCAGAGAGACCCCAACCCCAGGGCACCCACCCACCAGCCTCTGAGGTTCAACCCAGACACTGTTGCAGTCTCTTTACTCAAAATTACTCAACTCCAGATCCTGGATGGAAGCTTTACCCTCTCCATGCCTCGGGGATGGGACAGGAAGTGCACTTCTGCCTTTTGCCAAGGAAGTTTTGTAATTGTAAAAGAATCCTCTTGTGACTAATACCCACAGTGGCCCTACATGGACAGTCCTGGCAGTGATGCTCGTAACACAGGGCTGAGACTGACTTCTGCCTCCTGCCATTGCAGTTTCTTTCTGGGCCTGGCGGCAGCCTGTCACTTTCTGGCTGCATACTCCCTGTTGCCATCACTGAAGAGTTTGCTAGAGCTTGTGACAAACGGAAGCAGTTGTTCCCTGGGACAGGGGTACTGCCAGGGAGCGATTAAACCTTGAGTGACAGCTCCAGACCCACTCAACGCAGTGAGAAATGGGGACACTGCGCTGACCCCTAGAGGTGTTACAAAGCATGAGAAGCATCCACGGGCCTCGCCCGGGGCTGGTGCCCGCTCCTGCCATCAGCAAGTTGGGAAGTGAGGACATGGGTAGGGGCCAGCCCCAGGCATGGGAATGGACACCCCGGGAAACCTCCGAGCCCATTACTCAGAAAACACAACACTAACCTGCCTCTTCAGTCCTTACTTTTTCTGAGGGTGAACTGGGCTCTCCACCTCCGAGTTTGTTACTGGCTACCACCCGGAACTCGTATTCCACCCACGGGTTTAACTCCACCACAGTGGCTGTGTGTGTGTCCCCGTCGATGAGGCTGGGCACTACAAAGGCATGGAGCAGAGAGTGAGTGTCCAGCCTGAGCCACACCTTGACCCCAGCCCTGCCACCCGCCTTACCCGTGGTGGCGGCTTGCCAGCCCACAGAGAAGGGCGTGCGCGCCTGCACCGCGTACGACAGGACGGGGCTGTGGTTGTCTGCACCTTCCTTCCAAGAGAGCTGTGCCGTGGTGTCAGTGATCTCGTCGACAGTCACACCTTGTGGGGGCCCAGGGGAGCCTAGAAGGATGCAGACAGTGTGGGAAATCCATGAGGGGTGGTCTGTGGGTGCTGCAGTCCCTCCACTAACCCCCAGGATAAAGCCACTTGGAGGGAAGGCCACTTGCCAGGGAATCAAGTGGCCAGTCCCGTTTCCCCCCACATCTCAGTCCCTAGACCGTAAATCAGACGTAATGCAGCACTTCCAGCCTGGATTACTCCAGGACTGCGAGTGGCGCTTGGGGAGTCTCTGCTCATCAGGCTTTCTGCCCTGTCCAGCCCCAGACCCTCCGCCTGTAGGACGCTGCCTTTTCCTGTTGTGTGCTGTGAGCTCGGCAACCCTGCCTTATAGCTCGCCACTTCCTGCAGTCACAGCCTGGCAATTGGTCAGAACCATGGACAGCGCCAGGAGGCTGCCCCACGCCTGCAGCCGGCACTGCATCAGGACCACGGACAGCAGCCGGCCAGCCAGTGTCCTCTGGGCTTGCACACGCATCACTGCTGTGGGAGTGGTCACAGGCACACACTTGCACACGCATGCTCTTGTATGCACACGCCGTAACACATATTCACACACCTCTGTGAATGCACGCGCAAGTCTGCAAACACATGCACAGGCAAGCACACGCGGGTGCACAGCTCCGCACACAGGCAGACACATGCACTCCACGCATACACCGCCACTCATATGCCCACCGTCTCTGCATGACAAGCATAGACACCCCCCGAGTCAGCGATGGGGTGCAGTAAGTGAGGCGGAGGGCAGTGAGAGGGTTTCACTTCTGTTCTTCTTGCCAGACCCTCCTGGCACCCGGGGCACAGAAACCAGCATGACCATCTTCAGCCTGGTCAAGGCCCCCAGCTGGGAAGGAAGCTTCGGGTCCAACACGGGCTGAAGTGGGACCTGGGCTCACCTCTCACTATGAGGTCAGCAGTGGACGAGACACTGTCCACCTCCGTCTGTGCCACACATGTGTACTGGCCGCTGTGTCTCAGCTGAGTGTTCCTGATCAGCAGGTCGCCTGATGAGCTCTGGGGAAGACATGGGAGGGGACGTGAATCCCAGGGATGACCTGCCCGGACCCAGGCGGGGTGGGGGGTGGGGGGAGCCTGGGCCAGGAGGAAGCCCGCCTCGCAGGCTGGGTTCTGCCGCTCACTGAGCCCTGGGCTCCCCCTTGCGATTCTCCAGGGTGGACAGCCCCTGAGTAGAGTCACCTCCACTATGTTTTATTTCACCTCAAAATCTTATTAAAGCACAGTGAATTGCAAAATTATCCACAGTTAGGTTCTTGACATATAATGTCCCATCACCAATCCTGCCACCAGTGTCAATTCTGCCCCAAGTCCCTCTCCTGCCCTCACCCCAGTCCAGCCTGCCCTCTTGAGAGGTGCCTTTTAAATGTGAATATTCACATTTGTTTCTATATCCAGGCACTAGCTCAGTGGTCAGCCCCGGTGAAGTGCTGAGCAGTGGGCAGCCGGACTGGGGTGGGGGCTGAGATCTGAGACACTGCCCTCACCCCCCAATGCCTACAGCTGCTCAACTTCCTTGCTACAGAACTTAGAGACAGCGGTGTGAACCATGGCACGGGTACACATTAAAATATATTAGGTCAAATATAAATACCAGCTTCCTTAAAGACTTTCACTGGCACCTCCAGGGCCAATTAGCAGGGGGAATGTGCTTCTAAAAGCCCCACTTTAAATGCTGCTCATTTTAAAAGCTTGTGAGATTCCAATAAAAAATGACCAAGAACAGGTTAGGTTCATACATTAGGAAAAGTGTGGATTAAAATAAAACAATTCAGAAAGCAAAGTGCTTGGGATGTGATCACTTACTGATCTCAGAACTATACGGGGGGAGGCTCTGGGCTCACTCTGTCAGTGGAGGGTCTGCACCCTCTGTCCAGCTGCTTCTGCTGCTCCCTCAGGAGCTGGGGGAGGACGCCCCGGACAGCCAGCACAGCCAGTGGGGACTGTGGGCTCCAGGAGGGGCCAGATTGGGCACTGGCTTCACTGCTGCTTCTGTGAGCACATTCTGTGTTTGTGGAAGTATGTGTGCATCTGGGCCAGAGCAATTTTGTAGTGGTTTAGGTTTCATCTCCAGTACCACAGGTCACCTTCTGAGCCTGCCAGGAGTGAGCCCTGAGCACAGAGCCAGCAGTGACCCTGAGCACAGAGTCAGGAGTCAGCCCCAAGCACTCCTGGGTGCAGCTCCCAAACAAACAAATAAACAAGCAAACATATACGCGAATCATTCTGTAGGATGAGTCCCTGCGGACTCTCCAAACACAGAAATTATTAGGCACAACTGTAGGACCTTGGACTGAAGCAGTTTAATAATATGACTGATTGTAAACTCTCATTTCTTTTCCTAAATAAAGCATTTGGGGCATTCGAATTCAGAACTGCATCCTAACCTGGAATATGTGACTTCTTCATTTCACTCCCTCATGCCCTCCTCTCCTCTCTTCTTTCCTAAACAATTTACTTAACCAAAAAAAAAACATTCAACATTTATCATTGTAGCACTGTTCTCCCGTTGTTCATTGATTTGTTCAAGCGGGCCCAGTAACATCTCCATCGTGAGACTTGTTGTTACTGTGTTTGGCATATCAAATATGTCACGGGTAGCTTGCCAGGCTTTGCCATGCGGGTGAGAAACTCTCGGTAGCTTGCTGGGCTCTCCAAGAGGGGCGGAGGAATCGAACTCAGGTCGGCCGAGTGGGCCGTGTGCAAGGCAGACGCCCTAGCTGCTTTGCTAATTTAACTAAAAGTGCTGATAGTAAGAGCAGCCTATAATTTCTTTTCAAGATGAAATAGAATCTTCCAGATGTTTTACAAAAAGAGAACAGAAGGGATGGGGAGAAGGGCAGGGGTTATGGTGCTTACCTTGCAAGCAGCCAACCCTGATTCAATCCCCAGCAGCATATGTGGCCCCAAGTACCACAAGAAGAAATCTCTGTGCCAGAGTAAGCCTGAGCATCTCTGGGTGTGACCCAAGATGTGAAAAGAGAGAGAGAAGAAGAAGCAGTAGCAACCCCCCACTTCCTGTAGAGCTGTTCATAGCGCAAATCTATGGAAATAGTCTGAGAGGCCAAGAGCAGAGGAGTGGTCAGGAAGACGTGCTGTGTGTACGTGGGATTCATCCAGAAGGCAAGGTGGGTGAGAGCAAAGGCAGGCAGAAAGCTTGCCTTCTGCTGCAACTCGGGTGGAACTGGAGGGACCATGGGAAGCAACATAGGTCAAAGGGAGGACAAATACTGATGATCTCACCTCTACGTGGAATTAGGAAGCAGGAAAAGGACTCGGCTGGCCATAGTGCGGTGGCTGCCACAGGCAAGAATTAGGGAAGGAAAGTGTCCTGTGGATGCCAAAATTCAGGCACCCTGTGAAGTGTGTGATGGCCCTGTATCCCAGAAACAGAAATGTTTGCTTGTTTGAAAACCAATGCTACCTCAATAAATGAAGTCTTTTAAAGACTGGAAAAGGAAGAAGCTGAAGCAATGGTACATTGGGGAGGGATGTGTCTTGCACACGGACATCCTGGGGTTGATCCCCAGCACCCACGTGGTTCCCTGAGCCTCCAGGAGAAACTCCTGAGTGAAGAGCCAGGAGCGCACCCCCAGAACACCAGGGGATGTGCTCCCATATAAGAGATTGGAGAAGGAAGAGGAAATCCCCAAGGAAAGTGGCACTTTACAAATGACTCTCATCTCCATCAAATTTTTAGTTAGCAGTTAGAATAATTAATTGTGATAAAAGGAAAGGAGTGTGAGGATTATCCAATATAATTAAGTGAAATGTGGTAAAGTGACAGATTATTTCTCAACATATTTATGTAAAATTGCATCTAACATTTTGACATACTTAGAAACAAGTTTGTCATTATTTTTCTCAGTACAAAATAATTCAGATAAATCAGGGGAAGAGCCGTCTCTCCCAATGCCTCGGAAACCCTTATTCTCAGAATAATTTGTTTTTACAAAACAAGACAAAATGACTTTGGGTTCATGATTGTTCCTTGACAACAATACACCTTTTCATTGTTTTGTGTTTGCTATAGTGGCTTGCCCAATAATGTGCTGAAAACACACAAATCTGCCTTTACCCCTGGAGTGTGAGGCTGGCCTCCAAGCCATGGAGTAAACCTTATCTCGGTACTTATCTCGGTACCTCCAAGCCATGGAGTAAACCTTATCTCGGTTATTCTTGGGTGTTGGTCTCCTATTTTTTTACTTTATGTTGCCCAGATGAATGCAATCTTTCTATGTCTGTCCCTCTCTTTCTGACTCATTTTGCTTAGCACGATACTTTCCATGTAGTTCAGATAGAGAAGGGAGTTTCCATGTAGCTCAGATAGAGAAGGGAGCACCAAATAAAGGGTGTCGGGAAGATCCACCCAGGATGGGAGATGCATGCTGAAAGCATGCTGAAAGTAGAGTATAGACCGAACATGACTGCCACTCAATGCCTCTTCTGCAAACCACAGCACCCAAAAGGAGAGAGAGAACAAAAGGGAATGCCCTGCCACAGAGGCAGGGTGGCATGGGGGGTGGTGGGAGGGATACTGGGATCATTGGTGGTGGAGAATGGGCACTGGTGGAGGGATGGGTACTCTATCATTGTATAACTGAAACCCAAGCACAAAAATCTGTAAGTCTACAACTGTACCTCATGGTGTTTCTCTAATTAATAAATAAATAAAAATAAAACAAAATAAAAAAAAACACACAGAGATCCTGTTAGAAGCCCGCTGTTAGAACAGGCTCAGGGACCTACAGAACCCTGAGCCGCTCTCCCCTGAGTCTGCACGGGTGCTGCTTGGGGAACTTCTTGGGGGCGGGCAGGAGCCCTGCACTGCCTCCTCTGGCTGGGGGAGCCCTGCCTGGCTCGTCCTTCCACACTCGCCCTTGCTGGCTGAGAAGAGCCATCCTGGCTTCCCGTCCACCCACACAGTCATTGCAGCCTCAGCACAAGCTCAGCTGTACCTGCAGCCCACCACTACCCTCCCCCGAACAGGGGCCAAACCCAGGCATCCTGGTCTGGACGCATGCAGGGTGGGGCGTGCAAGAGAAGCCTGTCCCTGACAGCCCCAGGGCCCAGCCTGCTGGAGCATCACCTGCTCTCCAGGACCCCGTCGGCAGTGTCCATCCGGAACCTCAAAACTCAGGGAGAGAGAGAGACCACGCTTGAAGCGGTGTAAGCCTTTACTGGAACTTTCATCTGGCAAACAGCATGAGCTACATTTAAAGGTCAGTAAAAGAAAATTGGTTTTGAAAATGTGTTTACTATCATAAAAAAAACAGAATCTCTGAGTTTAGATTCTAATGTTAAATGGATCCAAATGAACCACTTATTTTTCATGTTCTTGCTCAAGTCCAGGCCAATTAAACAGTATAATTAAATATGATGTCTTACAAAGTAGAATGATGTTCTTTCTGAATTGGAACATAAAATCTAAGACAGCATGAACAACCACAATGCAGAAATAAAAAGATCAATCATCCAACAAAGCCTTATTCCACAGGCCTTTAGGACTGGTCAAATATCAGTGGGCTTTCATCCATACAACGGCTAAGAGGACACAGAAATTCAACTGTCAGGAAGTGTGGCAGCCAAGAGAAGCACCCCAAATTTGGAAAGAAAACGAGAAAAACCCAAGACAGCAGAAGCCTGAGCAGGATGGAACCGAAACAGAAAGGACCTCAGGCAGGAAGGACCCAGAATAGGAAGAAACTAGAACAGGAAGGATCCAGAACAGGAAGAGCCCAGAACAGGAAGGGTTCAGAACAGGAAGGATCTAGAACAGGAAGGGTTCAGAACAGGAAGGACCCAGAACAGAAAGGACCCAGTAGACAACTGGAAGGCAAACAACCCAGGTCGCAGAGAAAGTCAAACATAAAGGAGAAATATTGACCCCAGCCCAAGGGAGCCTCCCTCGCACCCCTACCTGCCCAAAACAGAGATGGGCGTCTGCTCCCACAGGGACTAGTGGGAGGGCATGGTGGAGCCTCCCCAACAGAGGGCGA